TGTCTCAGATAAACTGCCAACAGTTGTATCAAAGACATAATTGTCCTAATTGTTTCTAATTTAGCTATTTGGAAGAGAAACATGTCATAAAAGATTTCATAAAATGTTTCTACATCCTTGTTTTCAACCAATGGACCGTGGTGCGTTAGTGTGCCATCAAAAATGGTCTAATATCACCTTTAGCCAAGATTTAGAAATACTCTATATTATTTTCCAGACCTCTTTTTTTGTCTGAACAAACCACTCTTGTACTAAATGCAGCGTCCATTAAAAGCTGCAGTTCTCTTTCTAGCACCAGTTTCAACTGTGCATGTGATTGTTCTTAAATGATTAACGAGCCACGGTTCAGAGGTTGGAAAATTGCCTTAAATATCCGTATTACCAAGATCATGCAGTCAAAATCAATAATTCTAAACTTCTCCGCGTCTATAACTTTAAATAACAATAATAGTTTCAATAATAGAGCTCCTCTACCTTAAATATACTGCTGTTCTAATCTCCTTGCGTCTCATGCTAAAGCAAGAGTCTAATTAATTTTAACGATTGTCCTGTATTCTTTCATGCAGCTAAATGTAGTGTTATGAACGAATGACCTAGCTAAATGTGTAAATATGACTTAATATGTCTCTGTGCGTTTGTGTGCCTGTCTGTATATTACCTTCCGTCTGTTTCATTTAGCCCGGCCACGTCCTCCTCAAACGTCCGTTAATGTCTCTTTCTTTTACTTATGGCGTCTTTCAATGTCTTTTGTCTCAAAGTGTCCAATGTCTTTGCCTCAATGCCACCTTCTGTTCCGTGGATGGGTCGACACTCAGTTTTGTGAAAAAATCTGCGGTCTTTTCTTTGTCTATGCTGTTAGAAATGGGGCTGGAGGAGTCTTCTTCGAGAGTTCCTGTTAGCTGCTGCAGCCGATGCTGCTGTCTTTGGTGCCCCCTGTGGGTGAAACGGGGGAGACGCTGATGGTCCCTTTTAGTAGACGCTCAGTTGAGGCTTGTGGCGGGGACGATTTTGGCCAATGAAACAGACAGAAGTTTTCTCAGGAAAAACAGACAAACAAGAAACACAAACAAGTGTGTTAATTACCATACAAAACCAATGATTAATTACAAATCAAAATAGACCTATGAAATAATTAATATTAACATTTTAAACATTAAATTCTGAAAACCAAATCTGCATTCAACTGCTATCCTAAGCCCTATTTTTCCAAAAGTATAATGCTCTCTAAGATCATTCTAACTTTTATATCACCAAAATGTAGGGAAAAAAACTTGTCCAGACGCCTTGGAGATAAAAAATAAAAAATAAAATAATGCCTCTTTATAATCTAACTCAAAGTTCTGTGATCCTATGACTCCATGTCAGTAACATTATCGTGTGTATAAATGTAATTTTCTACAAAAAAAATTCTTTCTTCACGAGAGAGAGAGAAAGACAGAAAGAGAGAGAGAGAGAGAGAACGAGGAAGGGGAGAGAGAGAAGACAGAAAGAGGGAGGGGAGGGGCCTCCCGAACGAAGGAAAACATGGACGTCCGAAATACTTCCGCCTGTTAGCTACATTTTCCTCGTTTTTATCGTGACAAGGTTTTAATCAGTGGTAAAAGTTTTTCTCACGTCAAACGACACTTTACATTTTATCCTTAAATACGTCAGTAATGGAAAACATTACCATTTGCTACCTGATTAATGTATCGAGAGTTCCAGCAGAATCTTTTTTTTTTCTGATTCTCTGTAACTATCGAAACATTACATCACAATACAAGAGAAAAACTCCCAGACTGATCTTTTGTCATTTCTTCACATGAAACTCGTATACTACAGCCAAGTGGCTCTCTTTTTTCTCATTAATCAGATCGTTAGTATCAGAATCCACATTTTAAATACTTGGCTTTTTTCTGTTTAAATTAATTGTACCCTTTTTCCCGCCCCCCGGGGGATATGGAGGTTTCATTATCCTATAACTTCTGACCCTAAATCTGTCCCTATTTCTCTAATTCTATTCCTATTTTTTCACTAATTCACTTGTGCCTCTCTGCACTTTTAAGAAGGTGTGCCTCTTTTGCACTTCTAAACCCTGTGGCTCTTTTCCTGTATATTCTTTTTTAGAGGGGACCCATGCTTCCCTCAAGGTTCAAAAACGTCGAAAAACCTGACTATTGTTCTATCGCGTCCGATAGAACGCCCCGTCAGTGCCTTGCGAAAGTATTCGGCCCCCTTGAACCTTTCAACATTTTGCCACATTTCAGGCTTCAAACATAAAGATATAAAAAATAAATGTTTTGTCAAGAATCAACAACAAGTGGGACACAATCGTGAAGTGGAACAAAATTTATTGGATAATTTAAACTTTTTTAACAAATAAAAAACTGAAAAGTGGGGCGTGCAATATTATTCGGCCCCATTGCGCTAATACTTTGTAGCGCCACCTTTTGCTGCAATTACAGCTGCAAGTCGCTTGGGGTATGTCTCTATCAGTTTAGCACATCGAGAGACTGGAATTCTTGTCCATTCTTCCTTGCAAAACAGCTCGAGCTCAGTGAGGTTGGATGGAGAGCGTTTGTGAACAGCAGTCTTCAGCTCTTTCCACAGATTCTCGATTGGATTCAGGTCTGGACTTTGACTTGGCCATTCTAACACCTGGATACGTTTACTTGGGAACCATTCCATTGTAGATTTGGCTTTGTTTTGGATCATTGTCCTGTTGGAAGATAAATCTCCGTCCCAGTCTCAGGTCTTTTGCAGACTCCAACAGGTTTTCTTCTAGAATAGTCCTGTATTTGGCTCCATGCTGAAGAAAAGCAGGCCCAAACCATGATGCTGCCACCACCATGTTTGACAGTGGGGATGGTGTGTTCAGGGTGATGAGCTGTGTTGCTTTTACGCCAAACATATCGTTTTGCATTGTGGCCAAAAAGTTTGATTTTGGTTTCATCTGACCAGAGCACCTTCTTCCACATGTTTGGTGTGTCTCCCAGGTGGCTTGTGGCAAACTTTAAACGAGACTTTTTATGGATATCTTTGAGAAATGGCTTTCTTCTTGCCACTCTTCCATAAAGGCCAGATTTGTGCAGTGCACGACTGATTGTTGTCCTATGGACAGACTCTCCCACCTCAGCTGCAGTTATCTGCAGTTCATCCAGAGTGATCATGGGCCTCTTGGCTACATCTCTGATCAGTCTTCTCCTTGTTTGACATGAAAGTTTGGAGGGACGGCCGGGTCTTGGTAGATTTGCAGTGGTCTGATACTCCTTCCATTTCAATATAATTGCTTGCACAGTGCTCCTTGAGATGTTTAAAGCTTGGGAAATCTTTTTGTATCCAAATCCGGCTTTAAACTTCTGCACAACAGTATCTCGGACCTGCCTGGTGTGTTCCTTTGTCTTCATGGTTCTCTCTGCGCTTTAAACAGAACCCTGAGACTATCAAAGAGCAGGTGCATTTATACGGAGACTTGATTACACACAGGTGCATTCTATTTATCATCATCAGTCATTTAGGACAACATTGGATCATTCAAAGATCCTCACTGAACTTCTGGAGTGAGTTTGCTGCACTGAAAGTAAAGGGGCCGAATAATATTGCACGCCCCACTTTTCAGTTTTTTATTTGTTAAAAAAGTTTAAATTATCCAATAAATTTTGTTGCACTTCACGATTGTGTCCCACTTGTTGTTGATTCATGACAAAAAATTTAAATTTCATATCTTTATGTTTGAAGCCTGAAATGTGGCGAAATGTTGAAAGGTTCAAGGGGGCCGAATACTTTCGCAAGGCACTGTTATATATATATATATATATATATATATATATATATATATATATATATATATATATATATATATATATATATATATATATATATATATATATATACATACTATATATATTTTTTTCTATGTTTATTTTTCCACAAACTACGCTAGCAGGCCCCGGGAAGCGTGTCTCCTGATTGGATACACGAGACGTCAATTATAGTCTATGGTGCAGCCCATAGAAGTGCAGACACATTAATGTGATCAACAGAAGCGAACAAAAATGCTAATATGTGTAGCAGGACAACTTGCTTTAGTTTTTCAACCCTCTACAGCTGAAGAAGGTGAATACATCATTCTGGTAACTAAATAGTTAGAACGCCTTTCTCAAGAAAACAGAGACAGAGGGACCGGGAGAGCCAGAACCAGGAGCGCCAGGATTTTTGCCCCTGGGAATAAGTTTGTCAATAAGCTAACCTGGGCAATGCAGAAGACACAGTGCCAATCCATCACCAATGGGGCCTTAAAGATGCAAATTAGGAAAATAAATTTGAAATGTAGGAAATGTATGGGACATGTTGCTGGTTAGAATCTCTATCGTTCAAACTAGGTGGAGGTTTATTTATATGTACTTTAGGTCTCAAAGATGGTCATTGTTTTCTACAGCCTCCAGATGACCATCAACCCTTTCTACTATGGACCCTCCAAGACATAGTACTCTACTACTACTCTACAAGAAAGATTGAATTGACTTGGTTTAAACAAACAATTGAGTGAAGCAAAATAATAATAATAATAATGCATTGGTTTTATATAGCGCTTTTCTGGACACTCAAAGACGCTTTACATGTGTATTATTCACTCACTCCATACACGGTGGTGATAAACTACTACTGTAGCCACAGTTGCCCTGGGGCACACTGACAGAAGCAAGGCAACCAGTATGTGCCATCGGCCCCTCCGACCACCACCAACCATTCACACACACACCAGACTCATTCTAGGCAATGGGGGTGAAATGTCTTGCCAAAGGACACAACGGCAGTTTGGCACTTTACAGCCGCAGCCACCCCACTGTGGCTGGTGTTCCCAGAGGTTAAGTGTCTTGCCAAGGACACAACGACAGCAGACATCAGTGGGAGTCGATGGTGGAGGTCGGGCTTGAACCCACGACCCTCTGGCTCAAAGGCCAACTGAGCTACTGTCGCCTTAACTGGCCATAACTGAACTATTTCTTTTGTTTCCACAGGGTCTTTTAGTGGCCATTTTGTACTGCTTCGTTAACAAAGAGGTAAGTTTATTAATTTATCTTAGTTAGAAGATGAAGTATGAGAAAGGCACACAATTCCTTCGCTCATATTATATAGCATGCCTTGGCCTGCTGTGACTGGGATGAAGACATATTATTATGTGACATAATTTATATTTGAAATTTTGGCACGCTAACTAATTTCATCTAGAAAAAACACTGGCTCATTCTTGCTTCTTCACTTCACTTTATATAAAAGTTCACCAGTACATTTCTGTATGTCAGTACATTTGACATGTTGTTTGTTCAGCCCACTCACCTGCCAGCTACAATATTAAGACAACTTTTCCATTAGCAATGGATCATTATGCAAATAGGTCCTTCTTGCGTCTTAAATCCAAGAAGTGCATGCTGCAGGGTCAGGCTTCCTTTCACTCTTAGTTTCCAAACGTACATAGCTGGAAGTACATGAAATTACTGGAAATAATAATAATGAGAAGGTTGGTCTGTCTGTAAGTGTCGACAGAAATGGATGAAAACAGTATCCCTGAATAAATATGCTTGCATATTTGTTCTGTGTCTCAAATCGAGGTATATATTATGTATCAGTCTCATTTCATCACACAGTCTTGCTTATTACACAATGTACTATGTGAGATTTCTAATTTCTAATTTAAAGTCAGGTTTAATTGGTGTCTCTCCACAAAGTTGTATAAGTGTACATTAAAAGTTTGTCTCATGTGAGACTAGGAATGAACAATTTTTGCATACTATCTAGATTCAAAGAAAGTCTGTGATTATGGAGTGAGGGGTGGCAGCACAGTGAGGAGAGGTCAGCTTGCCTGATTGCCTGGTGAATAAAACCAATACTATAATAACCATAACCATAATAACCCCAATAAAAAAAATGTTTTCAAAGCTCTACAGGATGAGGCAGGATATTTTGCTTTTGTTGTTTGCAACCAATTTTTTCCTGCTCTAATTTGCTATTTCCCCCTTCACAGGTTCAGTCAGAGATCTTGAAGAAATGGAAACGCTGGAAATTGGGCCGCAACATTGAGGAGGAATACCGACACACATACAGCAACATGCCCAACACAAAGAGCGGCAGCCTTTTGCACCATGTGGCCCCGTTGCCTGAGACCACCACCACCCTTTGCAGCCCAGAGGCGAGACACATGCTGGTGTCCGCTACCCCAAACGGTCTGGACAATATCAAGGACCCTTGCGCTTACCCCCTCCAAGAACGGGCCACGGATGGGGAAATCTGCGAGGACTGAGCGGAGTGGAGAGCGGAATTGGCAAACTGCCTTGTGAAGTGCTAAGAGGTGAAAAGTGTGCATCAAAAGACACTCAGCCCTTGTTCCGAATATAGAAATAGAAGACGCTGCCACAGTCGGAATGGGCTGCCGCGTTGTCAATGAGGACTATTGCATGCTGAACAACGCCATAAAAGATATCAAACCAGATGAGCCAATTTATTTTACTTGGAAAATCATGGGAATTAAACTATGTGTAACCTCAAACTGCAAAGAAGGACTTCTTGTATAGTGGTACCAGAGACTACATTTGACCAAACAAAAAACCTTAAGGACAGTGCGGAATTGTATTTTCTTCTGTAAATGTGTTTATAGGAAATATAAAAAAATAAGTTATGTATGTTATGTGTTCATGCACAAAAGTGAAGCATGTTGCTCAAGCAGTCCAATGGGAAATTGGCAGCTGCTCTCCCTAGGTCATTCCTGGCATGACATGAAAAGAGGTCATGGGATGTTTTGGGATCAAATATACATAAGCTACAATGACAATGGCTTTACGTAGTTACTTGTTGTACAATAGGAAGTTTATATGCAGACGTCTCATTCAGATGTGAACAGTAATAGTGTCTTTTGGCAGCAACGTATTTTGTTCTTTCCCTCCATGGTAATGTACCATAAGCTCTGGCTAAGTATGCAGCTCAGCCTCGAAAAAAGGGTAAAAATCCTGTGCTTGATTCAAGATTAAAAATAATCTTCAGACCGACCTGGTCCGTAAAAGCAGGATGAACAAGGATGAGGGCAACACTGACTGGTTTATAACATGTCACCTTCGACACCAGGGTTTAAATATAGGCTGCTTTAATCGCTGCGTTTTATAAATCATTCAGCTGCGATGTGTGTAAGACGTCACTTTGATATCACTGACAGACTAATAACTAATGCACAAGCTGAACAAAAATAGAACAAAAGATATAACTCCTAACTAACCAAACTCAAAAAAAGCGATGGTACTTTAGCTAAACATATTTGGCAAACTTAACCTGATTTTTTGCACATTGTTTAATTTATATTGGTGCTACCAATGTCTTTGTTGTGGTGATTTTATTTGCTTGATGTCAGCGTTTCGATGCAAGTTTGAAGGTGCAAGGGACCGTTTTTATGGAGCTATTCTTGGGTTTCATTAAATTGGCCAGTAGGGGTCGAATGAGCAGAGGTGGGACAACTAAGTTTTGCTCCTATTGAAAACCATGTCTGTTTTGGAGTCAAAAGGCTCTCCTCCTGTGCGGTGTACGGTTGTTGTAACAGTCTTAATCATGAGGGGGACACTCAATTCTAAAGGAGTACAAAAAAATATTTCTCAAAAGAGTCTTGATTTTGGGCATTTTTGGGGGAAAAAAACAGATTAAATTGCTGTGTTTCATTCGGCCTGCAGGGGGCGCTAGTCTGGGAAAGCCTTAATCCACCTCGCCTGCTTCATTCAAGTTTTTCAAAGTGTACTCCTTTACATGAGACCACAGTTGGAACACTGAAAAAACTCTTGTCTTTCTCTCTATTTCTCTACATTTCTCTACATGACACAAAAAGATAACATTTTGACAGTGCTTCTTCTTCTACTACATCTCCGTGTATAAACCCGGTAGACTGCACCGCCAGGGTACGTCACGTCCTGTCCCACGTTTGTTATTTGCGCCACTGCCCTGACGTCATATGAAACCCAAGAATTGAAAGGTCTATCAAGTTAAACATACGTATAACAGAAGATTTGACAGCATTCAATTTAATATAATATTCACATTTAGGACATTCCCTGAGACAATCCCATAGCTCAGATTTTATGTGGAAATGTATTGAGATGTTGAGAGAAGACGCTTACAGCAAAAACAACAAATAATGCCATGCAGAGAATAGCTTTGCATAACAACAAGGTGCTGGTAATGCAAAAATAATACTTTTTGTGTAATATCGTGATCTGGAGACGCACTGAGGCTGCTGCTGCTCAAAAGGTAAACATTGTGTTTGTCCAGAGCGATATGCTACTTTGTATAGTAAATATTTGTAATTCTGTTTTAAAATAAAACATGTCTTTAACGCTGTGACCGTGAGTGTTTAAAGCCAGCAGGTCGGGTCACTCCCCATAGTGGACCAAAGTGGTTCTGTCTGAATGTATTCACAATAAGGCCCAGGCGACGCATATTTTTCTTGTTAAAAAGTGTGCAGTATGTATTTGTTGTAAAAAAAAAAAAAATCCTTTACAAATGTGTTGCAGTTGATTTTAATATTGTCAACTAAAAATGTTTAATGCTGAAATAAATAAATAAATGATTTAAATGTATCTACAATGTTGTGTCTTACATTTCTGAATGCTCTGGTATAATATAGGAGCTCAGCTGATCACCAATGCAGTGCTCCAATGCACCCAAAATACACCTAAAGCTGAAATCACTAGGACAGTGCAGAAACTGTATTTCGCTAATGTAATGTGGTTGATTAATATTGCAAAATGAATATAATCTATAATACAATATAAAATTCAACAAACACAGATTTTAGTCTGAAGCCCTGCATCAATAACCTGGCAAGAGCCAGATTGATGATTGTGTAGAACTCTAACGCGTTCTCCGCGATATCAATCTGGGATTTCTCCCGGAGAATCCTTTCGGGGAAAGGAGGGATAAGCAGCAGAATACTTCAAGCTGATTGGGCGAAGTGACGCTGTGTGCCCGCCTACACTCTTGCCAAAACCCGTAGGTAAAAATGCACAAACATCTTTGCCGTCCAGAAATGCACAAAGCGCCTCTCGCTGTTCATCTTTCAAAAAAGAAATTGGAGATTCTGCTAAAACTGACTTGATAGCCTCAGCTACGCGTCCGTCCTCCTGCGTAGCCATGTTTGTTTTGCTTCGGCCCGGCACTTCTTGCTTTCGTCAAACCCGGATATCCCGCCCTAAACCCCCAGACTGGCGCGTGATTGGCTCGCACACCCAGTGGTTCGACTCGAAAAGTGTAAGCGGGAGCGGTACAAGATGTATTCTCGAGTGTTTGTGAACTCACAAATACCGCGAGAATTCAGCTTGCAGGCAAGGTTACTGCATCAATGCCATTGGTCTTGTGTTTGAGATGGTCAAGACACTTAACCCCACTTTGCCCAAAGCCCCCACTGAAAGATCAAGGCTATGCTCACAGTCAGAGTAACCTTGCCTGCAAGCTGGTGCTATGAGACTTGGGTGGCATCTCTGATTGCCACCCCCCTGACCCAGAAATGGATTAAAGGGTAGAAGATGGATGGATCAAGTGCGTTTTTGTTTTTCTGGAGAGTGTATTCATTTAGTTTAGTTAAGTTTGAAACATTTTTTGGTTAATATTCCAACAAAAAACACATGAATCAACAATGACCTATTCAGTTTGAATTTTATAAATGGAAGTTTTTCAAATGTTCTATGCAATATTTTAAAAAGACATCTATGTTGTACAGGTTTATTCTTGCCAGGAATAATTTAATATCCTTGGGGGGTTTCGAGAAGAAGGAATGCCCTCAAACAGCTTCTTAGTGCTCTTCATAATTTATATAATTTGTATATCAGGGGAAAGGTCAAAGTAATGGATGTTATGTGTTCTTATCATGCTGCCTTTACTTTCTGCTGTCTTGTGCATTCATTTATGCACATTTATCATCATTGTCGGTTCAGGAGAAGTCAAGAGAAGGTAAATGTGAATTAATTTTTTACAGTCTGACAAATCCCTTCAAGCTGCACACAAACATGTCTGCAAAGATCACGCAACTAGAGCTTAAAATATACATTCAGCCATTTCCTGTCTTCATGTACTTTCTTAATCATATAGATGGAGACTTTAGATAATTTAGGAGCTGAAATGAAATACTATAAAAATATATTTGAAAAACTGCTTGCAGTTTTTAAAATGTTGTCAGTGCATGTCCTCTGTTCCTGTTAATTGTCTGTGCTTGTTGAAATGAAATTGCCTCATATTTGGGGTATACTTTTTTTGTGGGGCATTGTGCCAGCATGGTCGCTGACATATTAGCGGAACCCGCCTGGAACTCGCAAAGATCCATGGGAAACTCGCCTGTATTTAGGCGTCGTCTGGTCCTCCCGGTTCTGCGCAATGGATTATCTTCCATGGTGCGTTGCGCCAAACACGCGTGTGTGGGTCTCACATGGAGTCTCACGCACGTGCACAGAGGGGCTCGGCCGAGCTCTGACCAATCAGAGCAGTTCATGAGAGCAGGAGATAGAGCGGGAGCCAGACGGGCAGAGTTTGTGGCACTAAAGTGTGTATTTAAAGAAAACCGAAGGATTTAAGAAGAAAAAAAGTTCAGGATGACAAGGGACACTAAAATCCCCACAAAATTCGACCTTTATGAAAGCTGTAGGTTCTCTGTCAGCTGAGGTCGAGCTGTTTTAGTTTACATTGAGTTCTATGGGGAGAATTTCTGGGTAGCCCACGTGAATTTTGTCTGGTTTAGTCTGCAGTACCGCGAGAATCCCCCGAGCACGTGGTTCGTCTATGGGGTAAGGTGACTGTCAATAAAGAAGTGCATGTCTAAAAAAAATGCGTACACATTTATTGGTATTTGTGCATAAAAATATTATATTAATTCATGATTAAGATAATACAAACTCAAAAGACATGGAATTTCCTAATTAAGAATAAAAAACTATAAAACTATATGTGTGATTTCGTACTTGTGAATACGATTTTTTTTATGTGCTTGCATTTTCTTCTTTGAGAATACGAATTTCAGCAGTCAGCAAACTGTCAATATTACGTCACTGTTCACAGACATTAACAATCGAGCATGCGCAGAGTTGATCAACTTCATTGCCAAAACTAAACGTGGAAGAGGGCAACAACATTAACAAAATCAGGTATATAACTATATTTTATCATTGTGGTTTAAATGAATGTGTAAGAAATATTAATTCCATAAGATGTGTTCATAAGATGTTTCTTGTCCCTCTCTAGAAACGTTTTTTTGGCAGTGTTGTTAGCTCCAATGCTAGT